TGGAATGAAGCATTTTGGTTAGAGAACTGAGCCTACTTAGGTTGCCACCATTTTTCTTGAGCATTCTGACAAACTCCTTGGATATACTTCAAAAGATTCCTTGATACTACATCTCTCCTCTACCTCCCATCTATACAGTTTGAATTAAAAACCAGAATTGTGCTGGTGGCAACATAAAATGGTGCAGCCACTAAGGCAAACTGTAGGTGGTTCCTCAAAAAAAGAAATATAGAACTACTCTCTGATCTAGCTGGCAATCCCACTTCTGGGAATAGACCCAAAAGAATCAAAACCAGGGTCTTGCACAGATATCTGTACACTCATGTTCATAGCAGTACTAGTCACAATAGCCAAAGGTGAAAACAATCCAAATGTCCATCAGCAGATTAAAGGATAAACAAAATGCCACATATACATACAATGGAATATCATTCAGCCTTTATAAAGAAGGAACTCCTTTCACATGCTATAATCTGAATGAACCTTGACGACCTTATGCCAGGTGAGATAGGCCAGTCATAAAAGCTAGTCAAAAACAAGGCCGGGTGCCGTGGCTCATGCCTGTAATCCTAGCACTCTGGGAGGCCAAGGCAGGCGGATTGCTCGAGGTCAGGAGTTCGAAACCGGCCTGAGTAAGAGCGAGACCCCGTCTCTACTATAAATAGAAAGAAATTAATTGGCCAACTAATATATATAGAAAAAATTAGCTGGGCATGGTGGCGCATGCCTGTAGTCCCAGCTACTTGGGAGGCTGAGGTAGAAGGATTGCTTGAGCCCAGGAGTTTGAGGTTGTTCTGAGATTGCTCTAGGCTGATGCCATGCCACTCTAGCCTAGGCAACAGAGTGAGACTCCGCCTCAAAAAATAAATAAATAAATAAATAAAATAAATTTAAATAAAGTCAGCATTGCAACACTTCTCCTATGAAGTGGAGGAGAAACCCTGTGCCTGTGGACGGTCTTCTAACCAGGGCACACCCCCGAATCAAACAGCTGGTTGCTTAGACAAGGTATTTTTATTCCAACTGATCCCTGGGATTATTAGGAAGCTGCTAGATTTTTAATCTTTTCTCTTGTCAGACTAAAAAGGTCGCCCAAAGGGTATCTGGTCCTAGGCAGATTCCTCTCTATCAACTGCTTTCAAACATCAACCCACCAGGAAGTGCCTCTTAGAGAAAGGTGGGACTGAGGACACACACAGCCCACAGCGCCGCTGAGGCTACTGAGGGACGTCTTTGCTCAAATGACCTGCTTGGTGTGGTGGGTGCAAGAGAAAGGGGTGCTGGGCTGGGCCAGCACTTGGGGCTCCGCTTCTCACTAGAAGCCTGTCTCGGAGCTGCCCCCAGGGAAGGGGCACCTTCCATCACCAGTGGAGTCACCTACGTGCTGTCTGCCCAGCCTCCTTCCTCACAGAGACCCGCCCAGAGCTGAGGCGCTGGTGACTCGGAGACACACACAGGGGCACCTGCAGGGGAGCATCTCCAGATGCTCCTGAGATGACAGGTTATGAATATCACTGAAGGCGCAGGCAGTGGGAAGCCCGCTCCTGTGCTCATCCCAACTTGCCTGTTTGGCCAGGATTCCAGGGACGTGGAACTCTGGTACCTCGCTGTGCGCTCCCTTCCCCCTGTTTCATCCAGGTGACATCTGGACATCCAGGAAAGCGCCCCAGGGGATCAAAGGTCCCCAGAGTACCAACTGCCCCGGGGCAAAGAGGTTGGAAGAAAGAGCGGCCCCCACACTATGCTTCAGTGAGAGAGATCTTGAGGGGATGTGTAAGAGCCTCGGGTCTTATCACACCTGAGGAAGGTGACACCTCCTTCCCCTGTAGCTTCCCCAAAGTCAGGACCCTCCCCGGGGGCAGAAGCTTACCCAGGCAGGGCCAGGGGACAGTCTTGACCCTCCACCCTCTGGAGGGCCCCACTGAAGGGCCTAGCAGATGCAGTGATCACGGCACAAGAGGTCAAATTTGCTCCTCAAACGTGGCTTGAGGAAGGAGCACCCTGACTGGGGCTGCAGCACATTGAGTGAGTCTGACTCAGAGCCAGGTGTCTGGGAATGCAGCAGGACTTTGCCTGGCATTCCTGAGAGCCCACTCCTGGCTTTCTTTCAGGGAAGGGGCATTTTTACAAGGCTTTCAGTTTTGCAGCTGGTGTCACAGAAGAAACCTAAGTTCTGCCCCAGCTGTGCTGTGGCCATCACTTAACTCCTTGGACCCCAGGCTCTTCTTCTATAAACTGAGAATACTCACCAGGTCATTGCTCAGGCTCCTGACAGCAACAACAGCCACCGGTACAAAGTTACAATGCACTGCTCAGGATAGCACCCACACCCAGACACGCGCCTGCCCCACAAAACAGTGCGCTAATGCAGGACTGCATTATGACTTTTATGCATTTTCCAACTGTGTTGGTATAATGATGAATATATTAAAACAACTACCTACATAAAATTTACGTGGTTTTTTTCTGATTTTAAAATAAACCATTTTGGGGCGACCCTAAAAGCGTCGAGGGCCCTGGGCAGTGTGCCTGCTCTGCTTACTGTGTGTCGGGACACACGTGCGTGCGGCAGGAGGCAAGGAAAAGACCCGGCTAGGAGCGAGGGTCCGACCTCAGCAGCAGTGTGACCCCAGCCCCTCGCTTCACTTCTCTGTGTCTCAGTTTCCCCATCCTGGGATAATAATAGTATCTACCTCATAGAGTTGATGAGAGAATTGAAATAAGATCAGCCAAGTACCTTGATTAGAATGGTGCCTGGCACAGAATAATCCCTATAGACGCAGTGTTTGCCATTCATATTATTGCTTTTTTTTTTTTTTAAAAGATAGAGACGGGGTCTCACTCTTGCTCAGGCTGGTCTTGAACTCCTGACCTTGAGTGATTCTCCCACCTCGGCCTCCCAGAGTGCAAGGACTACAGGCATGAGTCACCATTCCCGGCCCTGCTTTTGTTGTTCCTAGTCACTCAGCCGACCCTCTGTGCTCTTAACTGATACAAGGAAAAGTGGATCTTCCAGCGTCCCTTGGACTTCCTGGAGCAAATATAGCTATTTTAAAGCTGCGTATTAAGTAAAACTTTATGTTCATTAAATTCCTTGGCAGAATTGCCCTGGCGAGTCCCCAGTGAAACTCAAACTCCCAGAAATACAGCAGCCTCCTGCGGTCCTGGGACTGGGACAGCCAAGCTGTGGGTGGGAAGGAGAAGGGTCACGAGACCTACCCGTAATCTGCCGCCTACGTTCCCCTCCTGCTCAGCAGCTGTCAGAGCTCAGGGAATTTAGTGGGAGGCTTCAAGGCCTTTTAAAATGCAAAGGCCTCTGGGATAAATTAATTTCTTAATCCCTTAACAGTCACACAAGAGGAAGGTCTGACAGCTGGGTTCTGCGGAGGGGACGTGAATGAATGTGTGTCATGGGCTTTACATATATTATCTCGTTTAATCTGAACAGCCCCCTACATGGGGATTACTATCCCCATTTTATAAACAAGTAAATGGAGGCTCAGAGAGGATTGATGACCGGCCAGAAGGTCACCCCCACTCCTTCCTGCTGCCCCAGGACAACGATGGGGCCTAGGAGAGGATCAAGGGAGAGAGGAAGGAAGGGCAGCCAGCCTGCCTGGGTCTGCTAGGCTGGGCCCACCCGCTGACGTGCTGGGGAGGGGGGACCTGTTTCCCCACATGCATGGTGGGGAGCTGGCCTGAAATGTTACTCATCCTGATATTCTTACCCTCTCCCCGCTGGTCAGCAGATGACTGACTCCTTTGCCTGCAGCTATGGCCTAAAGGTATATACCGTGTTTCTCCAAAAATAAGACCTACCCATAAAATAAGCCCTAGCAGGATTTCTAAGCATTTTCGCAATATAAGCCCTACCCCAAAGACCTAATGATGGGTGTGGCTATGCAGCGCATCTGCACAGCCCATGCATTTGGTCGAGGGGCGGTAAAGAAGATGAACAGCCCTTCTCATCTGCCCCATGAGAGCTCTATTGCTTGACATGAGGGATTGGGGCCAATGGTTTTAAAGGAAATAGAGTCACAAGAAATTCAGGATGGAATTTGGGATTTGGAGAGTTATGATGATGTTCCAGAAGAAGACGACTTAACTATATTTGAATAAATGTAGATTGTTGTACCATACTTTAAAAAAAATAACACATCCCCTGAAAATAAGCCCTAGGGTGTCTTCTTGAGGAAAAATAAATATAAAACCCTGTCTTATTTTCGGGGAAACATGGTATGTCCCCATAAACTGCATATGTTGAAATCCTAACCGCCAAGGTGATGGTACTAGAAAGTGGGGCCTTTTTAGGTGATTATGTCATGAGGGTGGAGCCCATGAATGGGGTCAGTGCCCTTATAAAGCAGGCCCCTGAGACCTGCCTTGCTCCTTCCACTGTGTGAGGGTACAGTGAGAAGGTGCCATCTATGAACCAGAAAGTGAGCCCTCAGCAGACACTGAGTCTGTTGGCACTTTGGTCTTGAACTTCCAGCTTCCAGAACTATGATCCGCCCAGGCTATGGTACTTTGTGTGGCAGCCTGAACTGGCATTTCTTCAGTTCCTGGGAAACACAGCCACTGGCATCCGAAAGTAGCTGATCACCTTTTGGGCAGGGGTGTGAAGGGTCCTTGTCATGAGTTAAAGTTGTCGCTGCCTGGTGGAAAGCAGGCGGTCCCCTCAAAACCGTGAACCCCCTGCTGGTCAGTGGGCAGCCACAAAGGTGCCATTTTGGGTCCTTACTCTCCCTTCCTGCTCTTATTTTTTAGGAAAGAAAAAGTTGACAACAGCAGGGCCGGTCTCCAGCTCAGCTCCCCTCAGTTAACGGCCCTCCCACCTCGTCCTTCCCGCTCTTTTCTCCTTGGAAACATGAGTGATTGGGGAAGCAGCCCAGGGCTTATCTGACTGAGTGGGAAATCATGCTCCCCAACGACGGGCTGTCCCCCAGGGACACCGTGCACCTGGGGCCAAGGCCCACCCAGCCAAGAGAGGACGGTACTACCTCCGAAGGCAGGCCTCATGGTGAAGTCATGGTCGTCCACTCTGAGGAGCGGCTGAGGCTTTCCCTTTCGGATTTTAGTCACGTCGAGGTTCTTCTTATACAGGTGACTGCAAAGACAAGCGGGAAATGTTTTCCATTAGCTCATCAAGGCACTGCGTGAGGTGATTGGAGAGATTACTCCCTGCAGGCTCTCCCTGTTAGGCACCTTTTCTCCATTCTGCCACCTCCTTCTCAACCCAGGGGAGGGGGAGGGCTGAGGGACCCTCACAGCCAGGCCCACCTGAGGAACAGGCCCTTCCAGAGCCTTCCCAAAGTAGATGCCCTCCTGGGAAGGACAGTGTTCTACCTTGGCAAGCTCTTAATTATGTTGCCAAAAGTTATAATTGGATGAAAATGGTTGAATGAAGAGCATGATATATTTTTCTTTTCTCAATTTTTATTTATTTATTTATTTTAGACACAGGGTCTCACTCCGTCACCCAGGCTAGAGTACATGGCACTATCATAGCTCACTGAAACCTCCAGGTCCTGGGTTCAAGTGATCCCCCTACCTCAACTTGCCCAGTAGCTGGGACTACAGGCATGTGCCACCACACTTAGCTAATTTTTTTTAGTTTTTTTTCGGGTTGGGTTTTTTTTTTTTTGCCCGGGTTGTTTTCAACTTTTTGGCTTCAGGCATTCTTCTTGTGGGTTTTTTGTTAATTGCTTTTTTCGGCCAATTGGGTTCAATTTTTAAAATGGTGGTTTTTATCCCAGCCAGGCTTGATGCTCCTTATTTCAGTCCAGACTGCCGCATCCACCCTGGTGCAGAGCCTCCGTCCCTAGAGAGAGATTCCGCAGCCAGGGGCAGTGAGGCCACAGCTGGGGACAGAGTTCCTCTGGCCACCCAGCCAGGGGCTGGCGGAGGCCAGCATGCAGCCTTGATTGGACCCTTCCCCTAAACCAGATGACGGAGGAGTGATTCTCTCTCTCTCAATCTTTCCAGGTCACTTTCTTTACCACGACCACACATGACCCTAAAGCATCAGATCCAAAATATTCTGAAGCAATGGTGTGCTGACAAGGTTTTCACTAAACAAGAAAAAGAAAAAAGAGAGGGAAGAAAAGAAGAAAAGCTACAACAGACGTTTCTGGTATAAAAAAAATAAAAAATAAATAAAAATAAAAAAAGAAGAAAAGGAAGAGAAGGAAAGAAGAAAAGAAAGAGAGGACAAGAAGAAATGAGGAAAGAAAAGAAAGGAGGAAGGGAGGGAGGGAAGAGGGAACGTGCACGCAGCCAGGCTGATCACAGCACCTGGTCTGTTGCCCATGCAGCCTTATGGGTTCGTGCCTGGCACTTAAGTTAGTGCACGTTCAGTCTCAGTTTATCTCTGTGTCCATTGCACTGAGCACATGGTAGACATTCAATAAACAGGAGCAACAGGGCAAGACAACAGCCAGTTTCCAGAATAAACCGAAACCAATTCCATTCCAGTATATTTGGTCAATGTTACCCCTAAACCAGATGCTTCTCGGCCATATCCACACTTCAGGAACACTCCGGGAGCTTTTAAAGCTCCGGATGCTCAGGCTGCACCCCTAGGCAACCAAATCTGGAGTGGGACCCAGGTGTCAGCACTTTTCAAAGTTCCCCAGCTGATCCCCATGTAGCCAAGGCTGAGACCCACAGCTCCAAACTTAACACTTTAGATCTGGCAAACCTCAGTGGTAATAAACTCCACCTGGTTTTGTGTTGCATTGGCTAGACCAGTGATGCTCACGCCTGGCCACAGATTGTAGACACCTGGGGAGATTGTAAAACTTCTGATGCCTAAGTCCCACCCCCAGAGATTTGGCTTTGGATGGTTGGAGGGCAGCTCTCAGCACTGGGAATTTTGTAGAGCTCTGCATGATTCCAAGGTACTGGCAATGTTTGAGAACCACTAGGACAGACCTTATCCTGACGCCTTTGGGAGGGTCCTAAGAGGGTGCTGGAGCACCTGTCAGTGCTGAGGATTTAGGTGTAACAGGTGAGGGGACTGCTCACTCACGCGGGGAAGGAGCCAGAGGCCCTCTTAGGGCCTGTGATTCTCTGTTACGTGTAGCATAGTGAAGGTTTTTAGAAATAAGTGAAGAGATTTCATCCTGAATGCTCATTGCTCATTTATACATACCCCTTTTTATGCCCTTTATGTTCTTGTCACCTTTCATTCACATTTGAGAGAAACAGGTATGTTTCCTACTTAAACTCTGTAAGAGAGAAACGCCATATTTCTTGCAGTATCTCCCCATGAAATCCTTAACTTTCATTCTCTGCCAGCTCCACCCCAATGGGGTAATTCACCGGGAGGGCTGAAGCTGCGCCAATCAAAACAGCAGGCACTAGATACAGGTGGCTGTTTAAATTAATTAAAATTAAGTTAATATTCAGTTTCTCAGTTACACCAGCTACACTTACATGCTCAATAGCCACACCTGGCCACCATATGGGAGAGTGAAGATACATAATATTTCTGTAATCATCGAGAGCTTCATTGTTCAGTCCTGCCCCAAACAGATTCACCTTAAGCCAGGGCTTCCTTGCTCTTAAAACTACCTGCCCAGCTTCTCACAGCCCCGGACCTCCCTGCCATTCCCTCAGGAACTGCCTGATTCTCTCCTTATTCAGCTCCTCCTGTCACCCTTGGGGAGGTCAATGTCCCCGTGAACAGCCACCCCACGCTCTGGTCACACTGCACCTCAGTTCCTAGACTCAGATTAATTTGCTCAACACATTTGTGCAGAGTAGCTGCTCTTCCCAGATGCTGTTCAAGTCATGGGGAGGACATATATTCACTGCCCCACAGGGCCTATAACCTAGTGGAGGAGATGCACAATAAATGAATGGACAGATAAATTATGCAAGTTCAGGAAGTGCTAAGTGCCATAAGAAAGGATAAAGCAAAGTAAAAAAGAAGAGAGAGATGGGCGTGGTGGCTCATGCCTATAATCCTAGCACTCTGGGAGGCCAGGCAGGTGGATCATTTGAGCTCAGGAGTTCGAGACCAGCCTGAGCAAGAGTGAGACCCCACACACACACTTTACTAAAAGAAAAAAAAATAGAAATTAGCTGGACAACTAAAAAATATATATATAAAAACTTCGCCGGGCATGGTGGTGCATGCCTGTAGTCCCAGCTACTCTGGAGGCTGAGGCAGGAGGATTGCTTGAGCCCAGGAGTTTGAGGTTGTTGTGAGTTAGTTAGGCTGATGCCATGGCACTCTAGCCCAGGCAAGAGAGTGAGACTCTGTCTCAAAAGAAGAGAAAAGAAATAAGAGAGATGGGTTGGGCCTGAGGGCGGTTTAGCTGAGGTGGCTGGGAAGCGCTTCTGAGGCCAGCATGGAGCGAGCCCTGAGGGGACCTGGAGGAAGTGCGTCCTGAGAGCGAGAGGGGCAAGTGCAAGTGCCCTGCGGCGAGGCCGGCCTGTGTGAGGGCAGCGCCCACCTGGCAGCATCTCACCAGTCAGTCTCCCCACAGGTCTGAGGTAACTGGGGCTCAGCAAGTACCTGAGCCCCGTGTCTCGCAGAGCCCTTGAATCTGCCTCAAACACCCTCATCACAGCGGCCTCAGCGCCTCCCGCCTTCACTGCGCCGTCCCATCAGCACTCACACAGGGTTCACGTCCCTCCCATCGTGAACCAAAACCAAGCAGAAAACCTGTGTGAACCCCACGTTCCCCTCCAGCTCCCAGTTCATACAAAATTTACTACAAGTGATGTTAGATGTTACAGGTATGTTAGTCACATTTTTGAACATTTCCTTTTTTTTTTTTTTTGAAACAGAGTCTCTTACCCTATTGTCTGGGCTAGAGTGCCGTGGCGTCAGCCTAGCTCACAGCAACCTCAAACTCCTGGGCTAAAGCCATCCTCCTGCCTCAGCCTCTAGAGTAGCTGGGACTACAGGCATGCGCCACCATGCCGGCTAATTTTTTCTATTTTTAGTTGTCCGGCTAATTTTCTTTCTATTTATAGTAGAGACAGTGTCTCACTCTTGCTCAGGCTGGTCTCGAACTCCTGAACTCCTGAACTCAAGCAATCCTCCCGCCTCGGCCTCCCAGAGTGCTAGGATTACAGGCGTGAGCCACTTTCTTGCCTAGGCTAGAGTGAGTGCCGTGGCGTCAGCCTAGCTCACAGCAACCTCAAACTCCTGGGCTCAAGCAATCCTCCTGCCTCAGCCTCCCGAGTAGCTGGGACTACAGGCACGAGCCACCATGCCCGGCTGATTTTTATATTATATATATTAGTTGGCCAATTAATTTCTTTCTATTTTTATGGTAGAGACGGGGTCTCGCTCAGGCTGGTTTTGAACTCCTGACCTTGAGCAATCCGCCCGCCTCGGCCTCCCAGAGTGCTAGGATTACAGGCGTGAGCCACCGCGCCCGGCAACATTTCCTTTTTTAAAGAGAAAGTTTAAAGACTTTAATTTTGGGAGTAGCTTTAGGTTCACAGCCTAATTGAATCGGAGGTACAGAGAGTTCCTGTAGGCCCCGCCCCTACACATGTGTAGCCGCCCCCATTACCAAAGTCCGTCTGCACGGAGTGGTGCTCTTGCTACACGTCATTATCACCCGAGTCCCTAGTTCCCACGAAGGTTCGCTATTGATGGTGTGAAACATTCTACAGGTTTTGACAAATCCATAATGGCATGTGTCCACCATTATGGTATTATATGAAATGAGCTCACTGTACTAAAAATCCTTGGTGTTCCCCTTAAAAAAAAATTTCTCCCCTCTAGATAAATAATTCTGCAAAAAAGTTGTGTTCCACATGCTGCTGGCACTGCCCCACTCCCAAGCACTGTTGTCCACTCGTGCCCAGCCCAGGCCCTGCAGGTGCTCTTACTGAGGCTGGCTTCTCTGCAGAAGAAGGGACGACCATGCCTCTGCTAGAAACTCCATCTTTCAGGGCAAGGCACTCAGTTTCCTTCCCACCTCTCAGTTCCTCCTCAGTCCCCATGGCAGCCTCCCCCTCCTCCTCAGCCCATCTCTTAAATGCCAGTGTCCCCAGGACCCTGTCCCAGCCACCTTTTCCTCTTTCTACACTCTTTGGCAGGCTCACCTAAGCCAGTGGCTTCAATTGTCATCAGCATGCCAATGTCCCTAAATCTACACCCTCTGCTCTCGGCCTCTGTATCTGACCACCTAACTGAACGTCCCTAGCTGAGTGTCCTATAGGCACCTAAGCTCAGTGCATCCGTAGATTGGTTTAGGATACACTGAATTTGAAGTGACTGGGCTACAGGGTGACCGGGCATTAGATGAGAAGGGAAAACGGAGAGAATGAGTCTGCAGGGACAAGCAGGGGCCAGGCCCGGCACAGCCTCAAAAGCCATGGTAAGAATTCTGCCTGTATCCAAGGAATGGGAAGACATCCTGGGTGTTACGAGGATGAGGGAGGAAGCCAAGATCAGATTTACTTTTAGACAAACTCATTACAGCTGCACATGCAGGAGGAAAGTCCAATTTAACTTCCTCCCCTACAGCTGATGTTCAGGGCCTCAGTCCAGTCCCTTGATACAGGCGTAGTCAGCTCAGGTGCCTTCAAGGAGCTTGGGCACTCGCTGGTGCCCTCCCCGAGCCTTGCCCCCAGGAGCCGAGGGGGACCAGGCTGGTTCTCTGAGCAGCAGTCACATGAGGGCCGTGTCCAGACGCCCCAGCAGAGACGGCAGATGAAACGCTCAGCCCAAGGGCTTAGCAGATCACGGACATTAAATTGCGAGCGCAGCCGGGTCACGGCGCCTCTGACTCACAGGCAGCGAGTCTCTCCTGGGCTGCACCGTTTCCACGTCCATTTAGGGAAAGGATTAAAGGAGCGGAAGTCCTGGAACGCCACCAGCCCAGCAAGAGAGAGGAGATTTAAATCCCAGTGCCATTGAAGGCTCAGAATTTCTTTTTAAGGGATCAGTTGTTTGATCACTCAGGCCACTAAGACCCTGAGCCGTGGGCTGTTGGCGTGAGCTGGGCACTCTCCATTCATCCTCTCACCGGAGGTGGCGGCGCCAGGACAGCCCCGGCCCTCAGACCCCGGACGCCCAGCCCTGGTAGATGCAGAAAGGCCCAGAACCACCCTCGCCATCCTTTTTCCTAGCCTCCCATCAACAAGTATTTTATTTTTTTTCAACGCATGTGTTCATCTTTTCCCACTTTAACACCTCAGGGGATGCATTTCAAGCAATTCTCCTCACCCCCAAGAGTCAGATTCCAGCTGTCCCCAGGCTCATGCAGGAGTCTGGTGTTGTGACTGTGGGTCTTCTGTGGAAAAGTGACAGAGATGCTGTGACAGCCCAGGCTGCCAAGTGGGGTCCCTGAGGGGACTTGCCCTGAACCCCAGCACCATTCTTTTTTTTTTGAGACAGAGTCTCACTTTGTTGCCCAGGCTAGCGTGAGTGCTGTGGCGTTAGCCTAGCTCACAGCAACCTCAAACTCCTGGGCTCAAGCAATCCTCCTGCCTCAGCCTCCCGAGTGGCTGGGACTACAGGCATGCGCCACCATGCCCTACTAATTTTTTTCTATATATATTAGTTGGCCAATTAATTTCTTTCTGTTTATAGTAGAGACGAGGTCTTGCTCTTGCTCAGGCTGGTTTTGAACTCCTGACCTCGAGCAATCCACCCGCCTCGGCCTCCCAGAGTGCTAGGATTACAGGCGTGAGCCACCGCGCCCGGCCCCCCCAGAACCATTCTTAGGGAACAGTGTCAGACAACTTTTCCCCTAATCTGAGTAAATCAGGAGTCTGTGTTCTAGTCTTGTCGAGCCACTTGCAAACTATGTGAATGAATGACTGGTGCCTCTGACCCGCCATTTCCTCACCTGCAAAATGAGTTGGTGCGGACAGTTTTCAATGTGTGCTCTGTGGAGTAGGAATCCCACAGGATAGTCCCCTTGAAAAGTGTGGATTTTTTGTTGGTTGTTCTTGTTATTTCTAGAACACTGCATAATTTATCCCCCTCTTCAAGATTCACTAGAAGTTCAGCTGTAAGGACATCTGTTTAAAATGGTCTAAACCAGGATTTCCCAAGCCTCTGTGACCCTGGAACCCCCTTTTCAACAATATACCTATTCACATTTCCCAAAATGATTGCTCAGGGGACCCGCTGGACCAGATGACCTCTGAGGTCCCCTCCAGCCCACAGCCTGTGACTCTGGCAACATGACCGGGGTAAGCCTTGCGGAGCAAACCCCTTCCCCACCATCCCGGAGGATCTGGGTCTGTTTCTTTCTGGCTGAGCAGGACCAGGCCCTAGAGAGTAATCCCACCTCTCGGGGCAGCAGGTTCCACTGGGCGCTGCAGGTAGAGATGGTGGCTCTCGTTTACATTTAGTTTTTTTCTAAAACTAAGGGTGTAATCAAGATTTAAATTTATGTGCATATTTATAATTTAATATTATGAGCATGTAATTCGTAAGTAAATATACATATATTGAAGGTACAGTTTCAAAAAATTATCACTGATAGCAGTGAATGATCAAAACTGTTTGGAGACCACTGACCTAGAAAATGTGCCTCAAGTTGTTAGTTTATATTCAAAGCCACTCGTTCACCCAATGCTTAGCAGAATGGAAAATGAATGTGGAACATGCCCCACACAGTGTTCACATCTTAGCTGCTTGTTCTTTTTGTTCTTATCTTCCTGTCTAATAGTCCTTATGTCTACCTCAGGCCTGGAGTACCATGCCTTGTACATAAGTTCCAAACAAACTTACTGAGGAATAATCATTTTGAATGCAAATTCTGAGCCTAACCAGTATTTCTTGGAAATGACTCCATGGCGTCATGAGATGGCATTCACTGTAGTCCACACATATATTTCTGGTAATCTAGCAAAGTTCAAACACCTATTCTAAGATTCAAAACAATAAAATGAAACTCAATACCATTATAAAGTTTTTCCCTACTAAATAATTTAAAGACAACCCCCAATTCTATTTTTTTCCTAATTAGCAGTTCCCCCCAAAATGCTTGAGTGTACCTATTTAGCAGGCCACCTCAGGTCCCCACAGGATGTAATCCTGGGAGACAAAGCAGCACAATTGGAGAAGTATAAAGAATTTTTGTTTTACTCGCTAAGTCTTCAACTGTCTGCCTTAAATCAAAATGCTCTGGCTGAACACAGGCATCAGACTGAAACGCCCGACCCAGTCTAGTTTTGCTCCCAGTGCTTGTGACACACAGAGTACTTGTGCCCCGTGAGAGGCTGCTTTCAGTGAGGAGGAAACCCCTTCTACCTGCGTCTGGAAAACAGGTTCTCCCAGGACAATGTGAGGACATAACCCCTGGCCATCCCGGGAACCGTCTGACCCAGCAATTGCTGCAGCTGCTACTGCACCGTGGGACATCCCTCCCTCCCCTCCACCATCCCAAGTGCCTTTACCTTGGCTTGGGCATTTCCAGCTGTCCTGACCCTTTCTTCCTCTTGGGCTTTCTGCTCTCCGCAAGAACCATCAGGCAAAGCAAGAACAAAATGAGTCTTGTAAAATAAGGCATTTTGTGGACGTCTATGATGCAACAAGCTGCTTTCCAGTAACCTGCGGCGGGACAGATTTCCCCTGGCTTAACCATTGATCCAGTCTGCTGCCTCCCACCAGTGCTGCTCGGAGGGCCGGCGAGGGCATGGCTGGCCAGGCTGATTGTCCTGACTTACTGTTTAATACTGACGCCTGTCCCACCCCCAGCCCCTACGCACCAGGCCGTGACACCAACGCTGGGCTTCGCCCTCCCTGCTGCTTAGTGATTGGCCATTAGTCAAGAAGTGTGTCCTCCTGTGAAACTCCGCTTCCGCCGGATCCTAGAATAGCTTTGCCTAAAACTGTTATATAAAAAAAAAATCAAATCTCTTCGACATGCCAGCTTTGTGCTGAGATTATTAATTCATCTTCTGGCTGCGTAAAACCAGTCTGTCCCATCCACCAGGCAGGCAGCTTGGACTCTGAGTGGACGTGCAGAGAGGACCGGGTGGATGTGGACATGAGCACCTGCATGAGTCCAGGAAATGCTGAGTGAACACACGAATGACATGTTTTCTTGGGATTGCTTTATTTCTGGATCTGAGAGAATATGCTTTGCCTATGGCCAAAGATACTTGCTTTTCTCTCAAATACACGTCTTGCTTCTTTTTCTTCAGTGAAAACATATCAAAGCATAAAATACATTTTGGTTTTGAAGGATGGCATAAACCAAAGAATTCATGATTATGTAAGGATCTTTCTTTTCTTTTCTTCCAGTTGGACAAGCCTGTAAAGGACTGGCTGTAACCCTAGAATTATGCCTGGATGTTGTTGGTTTTCAAGAAATGTTTGCTTTGTTGCATTCTGGATACAACTTTAGGTCCTACCAATTTTTTACTCTAAAGCTCTCTTACTATCAATAGTTCAATTCTTGTGATTACAGCAAGGAGAAAACCATAGTTGGGTAGTATACTTTTTTAAATCACAACTTTATTGAATTATTCACACACCATAAATTCACCCCCTTAAAATGGGCTTTAATATGTTGAGAGTTGTACAACTATCACCACTAATTTTAGAACATTTTCCTCTTCCCGAAAAGAAACGTCATACCCATCAGTAGTCCTTTCCCCTTCCCAGTTTCCTTCAGCCCCTGGCAACCACCTATCTACTTGCTTTTTCTATGGATTTGCCTATTCTGGACATTTTATATAAATGGAATCATATAATATGTATCCTTATGTCTTCAGGGTTCATCACTGTTGTAGCATATATCATCATATTCCTTTTTATGGCCAAATAATATTCCATTGTACAGATATGGCACATGTTGTTTATTCAACAGTTGGATGTTTGAGTTTCTACTTTTCAGCTATTAACAATAATGCTATGAATATTTGTGTACAAGTTTATGTGTGAATACACTTTCATTTCTTTTGGTTATATATGTGAGAGTGGGATTGCTGAGTCATATAGTAACTTTATGTTTATCTTTTTGAGGAACTGCCAAATTGTTTTTCCAAGTGGCAGCACTATTTTACGAACCCATCAGCAATGAACAAGCGTTCTAACTTCTCCACATCCTCACCAACACTTGTTATCTGCTTTTTTATTCTAACTGTCTTTAATCCTAAAGTGGTATCTCACTGTGGTTGGTTGGTTGTTTGAGACAGGGTCTTGCTCTGCTCCCAGGCTAGATGGCATCATAGCTCACTGCAACCTCAAACTTCCTGGGCTCAAATGATTCTCTTGCCTCAGCCTTCCAAGTAGCTGGGACTACAGGTTAAGCGCTATCATACCTGGCTTGTTTTTTTCTATTTTTTGTAGAGATGGGGGTCTCACTGTGTTGCTCAGGCTAGTCTTGAACTCCTGGCCTCAAGCAATCCTCCCACCTCAGCCTCCCAAAGTGTTGGGAATACAGGCGTGAGCCATCGTGCCTGGCCTCACTATAGTTTTGATGTGCATTTCGCTAATGACTAACGATGTTGAGCCTGTTTTTATGTGCTTATTGGGCATTTGTATATCTTCTTTGAAGAAATGTCTATTCAAATACTTTGTCGTTTTTTTAATCAGAAAATTTTATTATTGAGTTCTAATTATCCTTTAGATATTCTGGATCCCCTATCAGATATGTGATCTGCAAACGTTTTCTCCTATTGTGTTGTCTATTGATGTTCTTCGAAACAAAAGTTTTTTATTTTGATGAAATATATATTTTTCTTTGGTTGCTTGTGCTTTTCATTTTGTATCTAAGAAACCACTGCCTAAGAAAGATTTACTATGTTTCCTTCTATGAATTTTATAGTTTTAGCTCTTATATTTAGGTCTTTGATCCATTTGGGGTTTTTTTGTATGGTGTGAGGCAGTGGATGATATAAGAAGCAGAGGATCAGCCCCAGTGGCTCAAGCTCAGGGCAATGGGAAGGCCCCAGAAGCATCTGCTGAGGTCTGATTATGCCAGACACCTAGGTGGGACTCTGGACACACCCAACCTTGTATCCTGTGTTAAGGGTTTGGGCCTATCTTAAGAGCAATGGAAGAGAAGGGATCGAGTCTGTGTACTGGATAAGACTGGCTGCAGTGCAAGGAATGGGGCAAGACTGGAGACCTTTTAGGAGGCGATTGCACTAATTCAGATGAGTTAATAGCTAATTAGGGTAGTGGCAGTGAGCATGAAGAGAAGCAGAAAGATGCGAGAGAAATGAGGTAAAATGGACAGGAGACAAGACTGGATGACATAAAAAATACAATCTGGTCAAAAACAAGGTATGAAGGGTTAAAGACACTGGTTTTATTGAGCAGCTCAAAATAGTTCTGAAGGCAACTGTTCAAGAGGCTCCAAACAGCTTTTGAGCAACACGCGGCCTCCCACAAAGGCTTTAATAGTACATATGTTAATGTACACATTATTCTTTTTAAAGTCAGGTTCACTAAATTTATTCACTTTGCATATACTCACTTGCAAGTAATAAAACAATATAGGCTTTTCAATATTTCAGCCTAGGTTTTTGCTCAAGTACCATGTGTGAGGTTTACTTATTGATTCCTGTCTATAAAAATGGATGGTCTCAAGATATCAAAGTTTATTCACAGCCCAAAATAACAAAAAGAGTTCTTATTCTTCTGAAATAGGAAATTCTGTTTCCATAGTCAAAATGATAGACAATCTTTGAAGTTTTTTAAAAAAAATTAGTTGAGAATCTTCATGAAATTCATTTATTTCAGTAGAATAAAACAATAAGCAGCATGAAAAAGTAAAGTGCTACATAAAAGCCCCGCATTACATAAAATTTGAAAGGTTCATTGACTTAACAGTTACAGGTGAAACAAACTATTATTTTAAGCATGCTATTTTAACTACCTTGATATGTCGTCATGTGCTGTGTTGTTCAAAGAAAAAGCCATGAGTTACCTAGATCTGAGGACTGGGGGAAGAGGGAGTCCTAAGCCTTTTCCTACCAGAATAAACATCCAGTTTTAGCCTTATGCTGGAATTAAAGGGAAAATGTAGGGATTTAAAAATAATAGTTTTCTGAAGAAGCCTCTCAGTGGCTCATTGAGTAAGAAAGGCCTCAAAGATCAATTTTGCCCATTTAACCCCACACTGTGGTTCAGATTGACAACTTAAGGACTTTTAGGGAGCATATGTGAGGTGTAAGGGAAGAAGGAAAATGTGCCACTTTCAGATGGTTTGTCAGGTGCCAAAAAAAATCCCAACACAAACAAGCAGGTGGCTAGTTAGTGGTCAGTAAGGGAAGAGAGATCAATCTGACAGAGAAGGATCTGCATGGTGCAAAGTCTTCTTTGCTTAACTTTAAAGTACAAGTATACCCCATGGAAACATGCAACAAGATCACATAGATCCAGAGGTTGGCTCAAGTATGACTGAGAGGAAATGGGGGAAAGATTGTTTCTAGCACACGATTTATCTCAGCATAGGTTGAGGGTGTGGGGATTTCTTTCTGCTCAGGTGATAATGCTACCTGGTTTTCCCAGTTGGGTTGGTGACCTCTTGCTTGAAGATCACTGACCGACAACCCAACATTTCTAGTATCTTATATTCCAAATCAAGACTTCAGAATGCATTTTTTTATTCATTTATAACTTATAAAGTTATAAAATGGTAACCTATAATTTTCCTGACATGTGAGGTCTTCATAAAGTCCTTGGGCTTTTTTACACTTTACCTACTTCAACTACAGATATATAACAAACAATCTGTAAACCTTTAAAATGCTAATTTATTAAAGTTTAAGACAATTCTGTATTATATAATAATATACAATATATTCCTATTTTAGGTGTAGACATAAAGGAAAACTGGCTATGAAAACAAATTGTGTTTGCTAGTTAATAGAACCAAAGTCTCATAAACAGGAGTAAAAATTAAATTTGCCTGTAAAATGATTTTACAAATTATTTCTATCTTGCCCCATAATTTCAGTTAAAACCACATAAGGACTTTATGAATACCCTCCCCCACACTATTAAAGATACACATGGGCTAACTTTTATGGACTGGTCTAGAACCTAAATACCATTTACAACATTGTTTGACTTGTTAAAAAAAAAATTAACTTATAAATGCACTTTTAGAGCATAACCTATTTGAAAGCTAGGGACTGCCTGTATTTAAAAATTAAATCTTCATTAACACCACAATCAAGAGTACCCTCAATACTGCTACCTGAACATGCTGAAAGCAATGTTTTTCTGTGATTATATGGTTTCACAGGCATTATGATGATAAAATTATCTATTAGAGTCTGTGGAGCTAGCTAGCACTAAGTTATATATTGATTTTTTCCTCTGAAAATTCTTTTTTGGGTTTTAATTAGGTAGATAATTCTAAGTAAAGGTTTTTCTAACTTCTATCACTGTTACTTGGGCCCTGAGCTTTTCTATTAAAATGGTACATGAAATATTTCAACATTATGCATATTCCTAGAATTAAAATTTATAGTGATTACAAAGCTAGGCATATAATACATCTCAAAGATATACAATTCAAAGCAGAGCAAACATTCAAATCTTAAGATTCTCCTACTTCTGGAAAACCAAGTGATTTGCTGGCATGGACCCTTTGTTCCTTAAAATAAGGATCTATGGCAGATTGTTGTCTTTCTTTTTAAATTTCTGTGCATATTGGAGAGGAGGGATAACAGTATATCAAAGTGGTTACAAAGT